GTATACTAAGTTATCACCACATTATATTTATATGAATGTCAACAACAAAAAACATTATGAAAACGCTTTATATATATATAAAAAAAACATAATTTCATGCATAGGTTTAATTTTTGTCCATAAATCTTGTCCTTCTGAGGCTCTGTGAAGGTAAATCTGTGTTTTGCATGGTCCAATATTGTCTCACAAAGCTAAAATATAATAATGTACCAGTTTAATAAAGGAGAAGATATCGGTCAGCTCAGGGGCGGATTTAGGAAATTTGGGGCCCTAGGCAAAGACAGGCAGGGGGCCCCCTGAGAAGAAAACCCATAAAACAGACCCATTCTACAGATAGAGAAATGTTAATAGAATAGACATCCATTATTTGTTCTAGGTTTTGTCCCTCTCTTCTTGTCCCTTTTTCCTCTCTATTTATCAGTGTTCTGATGGCATTTTAGCCAAAGGATTTTTATCAAAAACATAATTAATGTGCACAAATAAGGATTAGTTGTATTAACCATACATGGAAACAGAGTTTTATGGGGGCCCCAGGAACTTGGGGCCCTAGGCAACTGCCTAGTATTGCCTAATGGTAAATCCCCCCCTGGGTCAGCTTTATAATTTTTTCTAATATATAAAAACTATGAGAATCTGTTTATTTAAGAGCAACTATGCAAATGGACAAACATGTAGAAAAAGTAAACTATATTCTATTATTTTCCATATGAATCCCAGATTGTTAATTCTTCTTTGTCTTTTCTAAAAAGTGCTTTAAATCAGTCCTAGCTGTTTTTATCCATGCTGGTCAGATCCTGACCTTTGAAAAAGGAAGCAGGGAAAGCAGGGTAAAGCCTTAGCCTCACTGCAAGCAGTTAGCCTAGCCTTGGAGCTAAACCAGGTCCTGGAAAAAGACATTTTTTTCTCCACTTTCTCTCTCTCCAATGCATCTCTTACTCCCACGACTCGACCTGTCAATCCCCCTGCAAATTGTTTGCGCTGTGGCGGGAGGTGGTGAGCAAACACACTTCCTGTCAGCTCAGGTCGTAGCTTAGCTGCGCCCTGAGCTCTCCTTTCCTTCTGTATTGCAGAGCTACGGAGCCCCTCTGATGACATGGACAAAAACATTTTTTTATTGTGGCCACGAAGTAGTATTTCGTGGCCACGCAATAAGTATAACGTGCGCACAAAATACTATTTCGTGGCCACGCAATAAGTTTAACGCGCGCACGAAATACTTATTAATAATATTAATATCATTCCTGGACAACTGGGTAAGCAAATCGAGCGCGCCTTCTCTAAGGTCTAAGGCGCGCTCGATTTGCTTACCCAGTCGGTCTCCGCCAGTCACGTGACATTTGTTGCTAAGACGCCATTTTAGGTGGAAAAGGCGTAGTGTAAACAACCGCAGCATAGCTAAACGAAGGACTAAAGGCCCGTTTACATAGCAGCCTGTCCAAGATAAGTCATTACAGTTAACATAAGCCTGAAAACAGGGGCGGATTTATTGATATTATTAATTTACTTTAATAAAGTATTTCGTGCGAACGTTAAACTTATTGCGTGGCCACGAAGTAGTATTTCATGCGCACGTTATACTTATTGCCTGGCCGCGAAATACTACTTCGTGCGCACGAAATACTACTTTGTGGCCACAATTAAACATTTTTTTTGTCCATGTCATCAGAGGGGCTCCGTACAGAGCAGCTGCTGCAGATGGACAACTTTTAACGAGTTTTAATGGGCAGAGAGTGAACCCCAGGGCAGAAATACGTCATCAATCCAATGGAAAATGGAATGATGCTTTACGAGTCATTAAAGATTTTTAAAGGTCTTAATCAGGGTAATTGGGTGGGTTGGGCGGAGCCCTAGCGCCCTCTATTGACCAGCCGCTACTGCTTTAAATGTTACAATAATGAAAACATAAAGGCTTTTTATCAAGAACTTTCAGAGTTTGCATGAAGAGAGACTGTTGGGGTTTAAGAACAGCCTCTGAAGTGTTTGTTTTTTTATTTATTGCAAACAAAGAAAATATCAGAGCAACATAAAACATTAATAATTAAACACAGATACAACATCAAAGGGCTTTACAAAACATAGAGAAATTATTTTATAATATCAAAATTCAGATCTGAGCTGGAGGGATGCAGTTCTTTAAAGGCAGTTATGATTGAATGGATTCAGCATTTAAGCTGCATTATAAGGATTCTATATAGATAATAATAGAAGATAATTACATCTGGAAATTATGTTTTTGTTGTAAATATTTGGAGGTGTGAATATGATATTTACCGTAAATAAAAAAAAAATTAACAACATATAAAAATTGTTTTTTTTTTCACATTTCTTCATCCCAAACAAAACATTTAATCTGTTATTTATGAGATTTCTTTGAAGAAAACAAACTGACATATCCAGAATGTTTTGGTATAATTAATCCCCAAAAAGGTGAAGAAGCTTTTCTTAATTATGTTACAAAAAGTACACATTGGGTCCAAATCCCATTTATATCTTTTTATCAAAAATGCTTTAACAGGATAAACTATAATAAATACACTGGAAAAAATGAAATCTAGGTAAGTCATTTTCTCTTAAAATAAGTACATTTTGTTCTTGGATTGAGGAGGAAAAAGAGACATTTTGCCAATGGAACAAGACAATTTACACTTAAAACAAGAAAACACAATTGGATTGTCTTATTTCAAGTCCATTTTATCTAATTATCTTATTTTAAGAGAAAAAATGCTTATTCCATTGGCAAACTATCTAATTTACCTACCAAGATTAAGGGTAAATTAAGAAATTTGTACTTATTTCTAGATCGTTTTTCCAGTGTAATAATTTTATTTTACCTTATTGTTAAGTATTTTTTTACACTGGAAAAACGATCTAGAAATAAGTGAAAATGTCTTAAATTAAGTGTATTTACCTTTAATCTGAGTAGGTAAAGAAGATAGTTTGCCAATGGAATGAGTATTTTTACACTTAAAATAAGATAATTAGAAAATATGCACTTAAAATAAGACAATGCAATTGTGTTTTCTTATTTCAAGTGTAAATTGTCTTGTTCCATTGGCAAAATTTCTCTTTTACCTCCTCAATCCAAGAACAAATGCACTTATTTTAAGAAAAAATGACTGATCTAGATTTTGATTTTTTTCCAGTGTAGGAGCAGCTATCTTCACTTCAAGTTTATTAACCATCATATTGGATGCATGAGGTCTGCCTGATGTCTGCTAAGTAAACACATCCATAAAAGAGCAGAACAGTGGGGGGTTGAAGGATGAACGTGGACCTTGAGAAGTCAGTAATAATTTTCAGCGCCTGACTGCACTGAGTAATAACATGTAAAGTTTTCAGTAAATCGTATGAAGACATCCTGGCAGATTTCCATAATAAATATTGTTCTGATTTTCCTCTGAGCCCTAAAAATCTGCAAAAGATTTCTAACCTTTTGCTTAATTTGGGAAATCCCAAGAGGTCTGGGGATTAGGAAAACGCTGCTAAAGTCAAAACAAAATGTCTTCATCCTCTTTAAAAAAACACAGTAAGTCATTTTATATTGGAAAATCCTGCGCAAAAAAAAACATCAATCAAACATGTTAAAGATTTGACGATAAAAAGCTGCATGACCTGGTCGCAGTAAAGTACTGCCTCAATGCATTTCAAAGACACCTTTTCATTTAGTTTCACTGTTTATTCTTGATCTATTGTCAGATTCTAACATCTTACCAATTGGCCGAACTGTGGACTGTAAATTATTCAGATCATATAGATATTTCAAGTCCACAGACTTTCTGTCAAATTTACTTCTGGACTCAAAGGTGAAGTTTTTCTCACTTATTCCTTTGTTAAACTGGAGGCATCTTTGGACTCCCTGTAATGCTGAAGGATTCAATTCAATTTATTTATATGTATTTATAGCAGCAATTTACAACACAACATCTCAATACACTTTGCAGAGACAATTCAGTCATCCTTTCATTCTATTTTTAGAAATTCTAGGAACCACTAGTAAACCTGCAGATTGAGAGCGAAGTGCTCTGTTAGGAACATAAGGAACAATCAGATCTCTGATATCAGATGGAGCTTGGCCATTTAAGGCTTTATATGTGAGAAGGAGGATTTTAAATTCTATTCTGGATTTAACAGGAAGCCAGTGAAGAGAAGCCAGGATAGGAGAGATATGATCTCTCTTTTTCATTTTCATCAGAACTCTGGCTGCAGCATTTTGGATCAGCTGAAGGCTTTCAACTACAGTTTGTGGACTTCCTGATATTAAATAATTATAATAGTCCAGTAAATTGGTTCTATAAATAACACCAAGATTTTTTTACATGATTATCAGAGCTCAGTTTAATCCCATCTAAGAAGGCAAGCAAACCAAAGAAATTGTTGATGAGCTGCCAGGGGCCCCCGAGACGATGGCTGACCTGGTTATAAACTGCATCTATTGAGCACCAATGTTCCCCGATAGCTGCGCGCTGCTTGGGTGTTCTTTCATTGATTTCTTCACATTCTAAACCATATGTCAACACAAAATCCAAAGTATGAAGATGAGAATGTGTGGGACTATTCACATTTTGAACACAGACACAACTTAAGGAGACACTTTATATTTTTTTACTGAAAAATATATTTAAAATAGTATTTGATGTGACCCTTTATAAATAAAAAATCATCGATGAGCCTCACTAGTTCAGCACCAATGCATCTTTATACCTGTAGCTTATTTTCCTGAAATGCCTTGGATTTTAAGGTGTGCTGTTTGATGGATGTGACATCAAGCACAATTGAAACATTATATTCTAGATGGATTTTGTGGATGCTCAGACTTGGCATCCTGCCAGCCGTAACTCCAGTAAGGTGAAAAAGTTAAACAAGAAAAACCTTTCAAGGGCGAGCAGAACAGAGCTGCAGTTCTGTGTTTTGGCCACAGGTAGCAGTATTATCAGAAAACTCTGTAATGGCTCTTTAATTAAAGAAAGAAATCCCTAATGTTCCTGTTTCTGTTCCTACAGATTATTTTCCGTAAAATCAGTGATGTGAAAAAGGAAGAAGAGGAGAGGGAGCGAGCGAAGAATGAGGTGCCGATCACAATCCCACAGGACCATCCGGTCCGCAAGCTTTTCCAGAAGTTCAAGCAGCAGAAGGAGCTTCGCAACCAGACTGCTGGAGCGGCCTCCCACGTGGACCTGGAGAAGAACCAGCTGCAGGTGGATCAGCAGCATCACCAGCACCTTCATCCCCACACCCTGCAGTTGGGTCATTCCAGTCTGCAGCACTCTCTCCAGCTTAGTCTGCAGCGGCCCCACACCTCCATGCAGAACGGGGCCCCTCCCAGCACCGGTGTACTGACAGTGTCTCAGGTAACGCCCATGAGCAGCTCAGGGATCTACAGTCAACTCAGTGAGCTTCCTCCAAAGCAGAACAATCAGAACATTATGGAGCCACAGCCCAGTTCTGCTGGGGAGGGAGCTGAGCCCCCTGTCAGGCTAAAGGACAACACCAGTCCAGGTCCAGTAAAGCCAGTCCCCAAACCCAGCGGGTGGATGCGGCTGAAAAACAGCACAACGCCAGTGGAGGCCAGGAAGGAGGGCCTAAACAACAACGTGAAGGCCGTATCGGTGGAGATGCTGTCTAGAGACTGTAAGGGTCAGGAACCCAGTGGGGTCCCAGATATAGGAGACCGGGGGGTTTCCCGCTCCAATCCCCTCCGCAAGACCGACTCGTGTGATAGCGGCATTACTAAGAGCGAGCTGCGGATTGACCGGGCGGGTGAAGCACGGACACCGGTTGTGGGTAGCCCTCTCCTCCACAGCCCTCTTCCTGGACCTGCAGGTTCCCCCCTCCCCTTTAGCCCCCTGCCGGAGCAGGCCCTGCAGGCGGTGCTGAACCAGACCCGACTGGAGCTTCGAGAAGAGATCCAGAGTCTGGGAGACCGTCTGAGCGCCCTCGAGAGTCAGGTCAGCGAAATCCTGAAATTGTTGTTGGAGAAGAGGCGTTCGTCCACTGGGACGTCATCCGCCGCTGCCACACCTAAAACCAAAATCCTACGTCAAGACATTTTTACGGTTTCCAGGCCAGTTTCTCCAGACGCGGAGAAGGACGATGGCCTTTGCACACAGCTGGACTGATGACGGACACGGTGGATTATTATTTTTTCTGGCTTTAAGCTCCAGCGGATCAACAACGAAACACCTAACCAGGATCCAGTTTTGTTTGCACATCGGCTTAGCATCACGCTGGGTTACATTTCACTGAAAGTAATTTTGATTGCATGTCCAGCTGGATTCTGGCCTGCCAAAGAAAATACTATGATAGTACCAGCCTATACTGTATGCAGAGTACAGCATGCAATTTGAATTTACACTGCGAACAATGGAAATCTAAATAAGTAGGTTTTCTTAAAATAGTGCATTTTTATTGAATTGAGGAGGTATGTGAGACACTTTGCTAAAGGAACAAGACAATTTAAATTTAATATAAGAAAAAAAAAAAAGATTGCATTGTCCTATTTCCTGTGCATTTTATCTAACCATCTTATATAAAGAGTAAAAATACTCATTCCATTGGCAGATCATCTTATTTACCTGCTCAAATTAAGGCTAAATGAAACTTTTTTTTAGGTATTTTTAGATGGTTTTTGCAGAGAAAGAAGACATCTCAGTGAGTGATGCTGTGCTGATTGAATATTTCTAATCAATGTATGATTTATTTTGTGGACATTCAGGGTTCTGGTGCCTCTATAGGCGTTGGAGAAACGCAAAGCTACTGAGCGTGTGTCCCTCACAGACTGAGGACATGTAGGGTGCAGACATGTTGTTAAAATCTCCACGTAGAAAATTATTTTTGTCTCAATTCTTGTTTCTCAGAATTTCTATTTTTGGAACCTGCACAAGTCTCTGGGCACTGTTGTTTTTATGAGAAGCTCTCGGATTGTTTTTGTCTACCTGTGTCTATGCATTGTTCACCACCCGGCCGTCACACCTCTGCACAGAGACAATTTTCCGGAAGACGTTATTAATGAGCATTGCAGGCTGTTTGCTCGTCTCTTCATGTCATTCCCATTGCATGTTTTAGGGATGCAGTAAATCGACTTTCAGTTGAGTTGGGACAATAACCGAGGTGAGAGCTGGGTCACAGAACAGCTTCAGAAGTTTCCATCTAATGATTATCAGCACAAAACACAGATTCATTTTAGGTTTTTAAAATGCATTGAAAACATAATTATATTACACAACGAGTTACCGTAGTGAAATTATTAGCAAGAAAAGGAAACAACGTTGAATGTCAAACCTGTTTGATCAACAAAAATCAAATGTATGAATAAAGTTTGAAATATAAGCATACGCCCACTTAATCAAAAAAGACATGAAAAAAAAACTTTTTTTTTCTTTTGGCCATCATCAAGCTTCTGTTCTAATTCAATCTGAATATGTTCAGGTTTATTTATCTGATTGGTTTCTTGGTACAAACAGATCCTTCAGTGTTAGCCAGAGTTTTTCATCAGAAAGCAAACCGTCACCTGATATCTGCAGGAATACTGGAATAAAGTCATCAAAATGGAGCAGATGCTGAGGACAGAGAGCTGGTGAAGCGCTTTGTGGCATGATGTGGAAACAATCATCTGATCCTGAAGGTCAACAAAACAAGGAGATGATTGGAGATTTCAGAAGAAACAGGAACAAGTTAAATCCTGTTAACATCCTGGGAGAAGAAGTGGAGGTGGTGAAGATGTAGAAATCCTTTGGTGTTCGCCTGGACAATAAACTGGACTGGAGACACAACTGGGAAGCCGTCTGCAAGAAGGGACAGAGCAGACTGGACTTCTAGAGGCTCCATCATCATCATCATTATCATCATCATCATCATCATCATCATCAGAGCTAATAACTGAAAGAAGCTCAACCAGCTGATAAAGAAGATCGGCTCTGTTCTAGGAACTCCTCTAGAACCTCTGGAGATGAAGAAGATGATGGACAGCAATGAACATCCTCTTCATCAGACTGTGTCTTCAGTCAGAGGCGGATCCAGACCCACTGTGCGACAGACCTCTACAGAAGACAACATGAACTTTTTGAAAAAGAATCCCACAGATTTCATTCAATTAGCTTTTTTAAATGAACTGCATAGAAACCTTAGAACCTGCTTTATACTGATTTACTGCTTCAATGGAGAAAATTAGCTGCTCATAGATTATTAAACTTTATTTAACCAGATTTAACCTGCTTTTTTTCTGTCCTGGCCAAGAGGCAGAAAAGTTACACATTGAGCAGAAATATGTTAAATGAAATGACAGGCCAGTTTCCAGTCTCTTTGTAAAAAGCGTGGATAAAGGCCTTCTTCTCTAGCTCTGAGCTGATCGATGGATCTCAGGGGAATAAATGAATGAATGAATGAATGTGAATCTAAGTGTCCCTTAGCTCAGAATAACAAAGACAGGTGCAGCAGGTCTCTGCAGCCCATTTAAGATCAGCTTCAGCTTTTCAACATCGTTTTTTATGAACAGTAATTCCTGGGTTTACTCTGGGGTTTATTCCTGGGTTTACTCTGGGGTTTATTCTTGGGCTTATTCCTGGGTTTACTCTGGGGTTTATTCCTGGGTTTACTCTGGGGTTTATTCTTGGGCTTATTCCTGGGTTTACTCTGGGGTTTATTCCTGGGTTTACTCTGGGGTTTATTCTTGGGTTTACTCTGGGGTTTATTCCTGGGTTTACTCTGGGGTTTATTCTTGGGCTTATTCCTGGGTTTACTCTGGGGTTTATTCCTGGGTTTACTCTGGGGTTTATTCCTGGGTTTACTCTGGGGTTTACTCCGGGGTTTATTCCTGGGTTTACTCCGGAGTTTACTCTGGGGTTTACTCCGGGGTTTATTCCTGGGTTTACTCTGGGGTTTATTCCTGGGTTTACTCTGGGGTTTATTCCTGGGCTTACTCTGGGGTTTATTCCTGGGTTTATTCCTGGGTTTATTCCTGGGTTTACTGCGGGGTTTATTCCTGGGTTTATTCCTGGGTTTATTCCTGGGTTTACTCCGGGGTTTATTCCTGGGCTTACTCTGGGGTTTATTCCTGGGTTTATTCCTGGGTTTACTCCGGGGTTTATTCCTGGGTTTATTCCTGCACATTCGAGGGTTTCAACTCAGCTCATCTTTAGCATCAGAGGCTTATATCAGATTTTTTTTTTTTCATTATGCTGAATCTTATTTCTTGTTTTTTTATTTCGACTCAGTCATATCTGACATTAAAAGTGATAGAAATAGATAAAAATGATGCCGCTGTTATTTTCTTTATTATTGTTAATTGATGGGAGAACCAAGCAGATTAAATAATTGAACTCAGTCTATTTAAAACCAAACTTCTGATCTCAGGCCTGGATATAGAGATGCTGAGTTTGGAGGTGGAGAACAAGCCAATGTTGGATGAACCTAATTATCCTCTATTACAAAGATCCACAACGAAAAGAAAATGTTTGGGCAGAAACATGTGATTGATACTGATGGTGGGTTTTAATGATGTCATATTAATCTAAGGGTTCATTACTGCATGTTTTGGTCCTATGAATTTAATAGTATATAGTGCATGCTCTTTTCACGCTCCAGGGAAGTTGGAGCAAAACTGGAGGAACCGTGGAGGCCATAGGCTTTGCTTTGCAAAGGCGGTCTGGAATGGAGCGGAGCAATTACGGAGGATGTGGGATTTTCGGGTTAGTCCTGCCAGGGTCGGGTGATACCTATGTTTAGATATACTTTGGATTTTTTAAATTTCTTTATCATCGTCTTTATCTCTATGTTTCTACAACATTGATTATTCATTCTATCTATTCCTGTCATGAGACCATATGATTGTTTAGTTGTTGATTTGTGTGATATTTTGGGATGTTTTGGAGGATTTAGGAAACACCTTAGTTAGTTTCATACAGGGCTGCTCAGTGGCACCTGGGGTCTTTCTGCATGGAGTTTGCATGTTCTTGTTCTCCGGGTACTCCAGCTTCCTCCCAGGGTCCAAAAACATGACTGTTAGGTTAAATGGCGTCTCTAGATGAGTGTGTGAATGGTTGTTTGTCCCGTTTGTCTCTATGTTGCCCTAAATTGGACTGGCAACCTGTTCAGGGTGTACCCCACCTCTCGCCCATTGACAGCTGGAGATAGGTGCCAGCAACCCCGCTTGGGATTAAGCGTGTAAGAAAATGGATGGATGGATAGTTTCAGTAATTTGTCAAAATCCATCCATCCATTATCTGACACGCTTGTCCCAAGTAGGGTCGCGAGGGGTGCTGGTGCCTATCTCCAGCAGTTATTGGGCGAGAGGCGAGTTCCACCCTGGACAGGTCGCCAGTCCATCACAGGGCAACACAGTGACACACAACCATTCACACACACACTCACACCTAAGGACAATTTTAGAGAAGCCAATTAACCTAAATGTCATGTTTTTGGAATGTGTGAGGAAGCCGGAGTACCTGGAGAGAACCGACGAATGCTCAGAGAGAACATGCAAACTCCATGCAGAAAGACCCTGGGCCGGGAATCGAACCCAGAACCTTCTTGCTGCACTGAGCAGCCCAATTTGCCAAAATATAATACATAAATAAATGCATCACAGGAGTCACGGCACTCAGGTGACAGCCGGAATGGATCGCTTGGCATATACAGTATGACATAGGGTACATTTCCATACGGGTCATTCATCAGTGAAGTGTTTTTTTTCACCACCTGAAAAGCAGGACATGTTGAAGATTAATTTATTTGTATTTATTTTCTGTTTCAAATAAATACCAATTGTCTATATTTGTTAAGTTTCTGTGTAAAGCCGGGCATACCCTGTACGATTTTTTGCTCCTTTCAGGGCGATTCTCCAGTCATGTGAGAATTTTTCAATCTTGCCGACTTTCACCCTGATGGTGCAAGAAAATGAAACATGTTTGAAATTCAGTCGGCCGTCTTAAGGTGGTCGTTGGCAAATCACTCAGTTGGCAAACAAGGATTCTTCTTCTTCTCAGAGGAAAACCCAGAAGCATGGCGGCGATGCAATGAGTGAAATGGAGCCACGTTTGCTCAGCCATGTCTTTGTCCAAATACGTCGTCGCCTTTTCTTTTTAGGTCTTTCAGCACAAAATTGCCCAAATTGCCAAGGCAGCGTGTTTCACTCTAGTGAGCTTCATATTCCTCTTCTACTCGTCTGGCTTCTGGATAGATGAGTCTGAGTAGCGCCACCTCACTGTGGAGCTGAGTGCTACCTGGTTTTTAGATGAGGCCGTCCAGTGTGAGCGTGAGCT